TATTATCTTTGGCCCGCGAGTCCAACTCAAAATAAATGTTGGCCCTTTAAACAAATTCATGAAGAATCAAGGGTGTAGGAGTATCAGCCTATTCATTTTTTGTTTGAGTAATGAATGTTTGTATACATTGTTTGGGTGCTCAAATTAAACATACATTGAAACTCGAATTGTACGTGGCTTTATTAAACATATTTTTGTTTATTTACCTGGTATTGTTAACAAACACTCCTTTAAAACAGCTTTAAAATGCTGAGATCGTCGGAACGCCAGGGGGATATGCCCCAAGAACACCCACCAGGGCTCTGAACCTGGACCACTTCGGAGGCTCTGCAGGCCCCCGGCCCTCGTTTCAAATCACGCATTTCAAATAGTTCAGGTTGGTAACTATGCCATTATACAGTAAAAATGAAGCGCCAACAAATTCTCACGATCTTTTGTCAGCTATTTTCGGCAACCATAGAGATCTAAAATGTTTGACGTACCGCACTACTACAGAAAATTTAAAAGTTGGGAAATGAAACTTAAAAACATTGTCTTTGATGTATTTACTTTACCTACTTCGAAACCGTGAGTCCAAACTATGGTATGGCTGAGATGGTAACATTTGGGAAATAGTACCTCTAGATTGCCGGATATGACACCCTTATAGTAAAATTCTTCACCATCGAATAATTGCTGTGATGTACCATAAAAAATAAAACTTAATTGTCTCTGATGTAGGCCTATAGTTTACTTTACCTACTTCATGTGCCGAAAACCAATCTTATCTCTTTGCACGCTTTTTCTCATACTTCTCAAATTATAATAAAAAGACGCGCACTCGAGTCGTGTATTACAGGCAATTCAGATTTTGTGGGCAGAGATACCGGTATCTTGCTATAAAATAAGATGTACTCTGGCTGTACAGTGCTCTCGTTAAAACCTGGGTCATTTTATGCAGTTCATTTCAATTTTCAGGTATCTTCTTGACTTTTGAAATTACACCGTAAAGAGTTAGGGGGAACCAACCCCCCTCTTTAAAAATATGTGGGGGACGTGTCCCCTTACCTCATGATCTGTGCCCATGGGTGGATCAGAGGCCACACCATCTCAGCCCAGTGGCGGCAATATGGGAGCTTCAGCCTCTCCCCACCCCCATCGGAAAGGTCAAGCCCCCACCCCTGTCAGAGCTCATTGGGCAGTAAGACCATAAAAAATATAAAAGGGGCCCACACCAAGCCAAAACATGGTCGGTCACACAGTCTGAAAGTGCTACTTCCAACCATCTAGAGGTTCATTCTTAAAGAAGGAGTGACTTGAGCTCATAGGCCCGAGCTGGGTTCCTCCCAGAAAATATATCCTAAAGCCACCACTGCCACTAGGGATGAGGTGCGAACATTTAAAAAATATATGGACCTCTGGATGCCTGGAAATTGCACTCTCATACCTTATAAATCTTACCAATAATTCATGTCAACGATATAATTATTTTTTTTTAAACAATCGTGTGATCGTCAAGACACACCATCCCCCTCCACCCGCCTCTCCTTGCATCAGCTCCTTGCAAATCCTTATCTCAATTCTCACTGATTAATAATGAAAAACAATTTGGCTTTAGACCACACTTTTCAATATCATATGCCCTTTTAAATTTAACAGAAGACTGGCTTAATACGATAGACAAAGGGAAGTAGGTTGGCCTTATGTTGGATTTGAAAAAGGCTCATCCAAACATTTAATGGTGTTTACATAAATACACATAGGCTGCTTTAAAAGCTACCTTCTTTGGACGTGTTCATACTACCACTGTAAATAGTTTCTATGCAGCAGCAGCCAGGCTCTGGAATGCATTACTAATTGAACTCCGCAGATGCAGTTCGCTTGATGTCTTTAAAAAGATTCTTAAAAGTTGCTTTTAATCATTAATTGTTTTTATCATTGTACTTTTATAATGTTGTTTTTTTATTTTCCATGTTTAGTATGCTTGTGTGCGCCTCGGAATTCATTCATTCATTCATGGATTTGATTCAATAGGTTTACCTAGATAGATGGCGCATTATAAATGTATTATTATTATTTATTATTATTAATAGTAAATTATCTCCCTAAGGGAGAGCTCCCAGTTTGTTTTCTACATATTATTAGTAGACGCAATTAAATAAGCATTTGAAACCCCTAAATTGTAATATTTTTTCTGGGGATTTTGAGCAACGCCCATTTGTGCCCACTTTGCTCCCCACAACCCCCGTCGGGCAAATCCTGGCACCACCCCTGATTCTACAGGCGGTTGAAATGCTTGATGAGGTGTTGAAAGACGTGTTCTGAACAATATTTGATTTGAACAAGTTTTTGCTTATCAAAATCAGGATATCTTTGATAGCCCTGTTTTTGATGTTTTCAAGTTAAACTGGAACAAGAAATACAGAACACAAGACAAGCATTTCCATTATAGTGATTTAATTGACAGAAACTTACAAAATGTAAGCATTGATTACATTCTTCATCAATGGACCGTTCCGGGATAAGCCCCGCCCCTTGGATGTTGTTGTTAAGGCCCACAAAACATCGGAGGAAATGTTCATAATCAAGCGAATTTGTGGGACATGCGAATGTTCTTGACCTTGTTCTAATTGGTCAATGTTACGTATGATTGACGCTTTGGAAAAGTCCACTGAAATTTACAAATCACGCAAAGTCAGAGAAATCAACTCGAAGGAAAATTGGTAAATCTTGTGGTAAAAATCAACCAGTTAACAAATTACCTTGCCTCAATACATACAAAATGGTATTAATGTATTATAATAATTTGGAATCTACAGTATTATAGGCCTGTATAATATAATCTCGAATACAAAAAACAGATTCATGAAATATTGCAAATGAAAGTATTTCATGCAGAAATTAACTTCATATTTTTTATAAATATATTTTTGTTTTAATCATACGTAACTTCATATAATTGAATAATAACACTTTTAAACCTCTTGAAACTCTATTTGAAAAGCTGTAAAGAACTCCAGCCAAAATAAAATACTGCAGAAGAAAATGGTAAACACATAACTTATGTACAGAATATTTACAACCTTAATGTCAGAAATTCCAACAGTGTATGGAACTGCCATAACAACAACAAGTTAAAAATAGAGGAAATTCATAGTACTTATTGTTTTTTTTTTGTTTTTTTTTTTAAATTCATGGTAATTATTGTTTTTTTTTTGTTTTTTTTAAATATTTCCTCTCTAAAAGTGACTGTTCTGTCCATAGCCTACATTTTGTTAGTTACCATGTATGTAAATTTAGGTTGCAAGACAGCCAATCACAGGACCGAAAGTTTTATTTAAAATAATTTATGCATAAAAGAATTGTTGTTTACACAGATGTGACCCAACCAATAAACAGAGGGCAGGGTGTGAGACAGCTTCAAGCCTTGCCTACACTATCAAATTGTATGTGACAAATTTGATATCCCAATATTTGGGTGTACTGTAATATATTGTAACATCATTATGCCCATACATGGGCACATGACACACATTAATTTGATAGTGTGGACTGAGCTTATATAATTAATTGTATTGTTCTACTAGGCCTGCATATCTTTTATTGTGATAAATTGTACTTTAATCAACAAGGCACAAACACAAATTGCACACAAATTACATGAAGCAACATAAAACGTAAATTTAACAGAAAACTTTTGCCTTAAGCTAAGCTTATGTAGACTCTGTTGACACCAACTAGTTTTGACTAATTGTGATTTGCCTATATCATGGAGATGTAATACTTCTATTCCTATAAATATGAGCATGATGTTGTCATATCACACATCAAACCTATGTGAATGGATCTCAAGCATTATTGTCAGTATTTACCTACAGTACAACCCGTTAATGATATACTGGTCGGAACAAATGAAGGCCATGGAGAATTTAAAGGATGGTGCATTTCCACTTTGAATGTACTCTTTTCTGAGGACTGGTGGATGGTATAGGTTGGCTGCCAGCTTCACATTCTGCAAAAAAAATTATGTGGAAATAAATTATATCAATCAGTTAATTACTGCCAATGGGAAGCAAGAGACTGGAATGAAGTATTTTTTGCATTTTGTTGAATGGTAAATCTTTATACCGTAAATGCTAGAATAAGCGCCGCTGCGCTTATAACATTTTTGGAGGCTTCAGTGCGGTGCTTATTATTCAAGAGTGGGACTTACAAAAACAAATTGGCGAGGCGCTTTCCACGCCCATTCCCATGTTACCTATTTCACGTATTCCCGTAGTCTACTTTACTGTAGATCTTATAATCATAAATAAACATTCATAAAGATTAAAGAAATGCTTGTCTTCATTGTATTATTTGTTCATTTTAACACTGTGTCATTGTATTTAAAACCCTGTTTCTTAAAGTGTTTCTACACACAGCGTAATACATCAGGGCTTGCCCTAACTTTTTTTGGTAACTAGCCCACTGGGCTAGTTTACTAGAGATTTTACTAGCCCACAGAATATTTT